GGTAGGTCTGGAACTCGAATGATGGTAGACTACTTGAGAGTCCAGTGATGTGACCATTAAACCATCTGCTGGTCCCAGGCCTAGTTCTTAATGAACTTCCTGTGTAATTCTTTGTATGAATACATAACAGGAGGAAAGCCTAGAATATCACATATTCACTGCATAGAAGGAGCCTGAGACTGAGTGACATTCAAAGATTATCTCCCATTACCACCCCCAGCCAACATTGGACCTTAATAAGAAAAAAAAAATTTCCTTAATAAGCCAAAGAGACTTGGAATATTTGTTACAGAAGAGTTCTCCTCACTGATCTAATTAACTAGTCAAAGAAAGTGCTGCATCCACAGGGCCTCTGACCTTTCCTCTTGTTGGAAATGCATTTCCAAAAGAAAAGCCTAAACAAAACTGAAGCATCATGTTCTCTTCCTTTTGCTGAACACAGTATAATCTATTTCAGATCTTACCTTCATCATTTCCTGTCCACCAATAGACTCAAGCTCAGTTTTTACAGAAAGAAGATATTATAGTGTGAATATCCCCCAAAATTCACATGGTGAAATTTAATTGCCAATATGATAGTATTAAAAGCTGAATTTTTGACCAGATGATGGTGCCACAGTAGCACAACTGGACCTGCATGAGAAAGGTTCTGGGTTAATGTCCAATAGCACACCAGGCATCTGTGAGCAACCCTGTGATCTGGGATGAAGGAGTCCAAGGGTGGATTGGCAGAGCCCGTGCAGCAAACACAGACAGAACATAGAAAGCTGCCTCTCATGTCTAAGCAAGGCTGGGCTGAGAAGAACTGTAAGCAATGTCAACAGTTACGAGCTCCAGTTCTCTACTGTGTTGCTGTACTGGTCTGTGCTCAATTTCTCTGCCATGAGCTTTACTGACAGTACCCCATAATGGCAAAATAACACCCCCAACCTTACTGTAACTTTTACAATAATCCTGAAGGAATGTGGATCCTTAATGCAGCGGCGAATGGGAATTATCTCCTGAAACTCTCCCCACCTGTTTGGAAAAAGTCAATAAAGAATGCTGCATTCACCTCTCCTACTGGGGATTACATAGATAGCATTAGAAAGGTTTGAGTTAATGGAAAGCTACTATATTGGTGAAACGACCTCAGTAGTTGGAGGAGGCTTAGGGACTCATTTGCGAGGCACTGATACTCCAAACAAAGACCATGAGCCACCTTTGATCTCAGGACAAGGAAAGATTGCTGTTCCCCAAGCCACAGCCATTGTAAGGAACAGCACGTAGAGGGTCCCAAGTACACAATAACCTTTAGGTCAGTCATTAAGCTGCTTACAAGACCACATTCCTTTCCCATATGGGCAATAGACTCACCCCCTTAGTTGTAATATAGATATTCCACTTTAGTATATATTAACCGTGTCTTTACTTAACAAGACAAGATTTCTATCTAGGCCTTTGTAACCGGCAATGCTACCGACCTGGCCCGGAATTGAAGTTATCAAACTGACCTGGGACTGAAGTTATCAAGCTTCCTGCAAGCCCCCTCTTCAAAAGACCCTTCCTGGTAATCAAGATCTAAGAAGAAAATGTACCAGACATAGGAACTCCCTCATCCTGAGAACTGTGATTGATTATACCTAATCAAACAAGACAGATATCATGTTTTATGATCATTGTTCCTGTACTTTGAATACCTCATTTCTTAGAGTAAATCTCTTACCTCTCCCTCACCCCTCCTACTCCTGTAAGACATCTCTCAATAAATATTTATGTTTGATAGCCACTGAGGCTGCAGTCCTGAGCTGGCTCTGACTATAGTAGACTGAGAACATGCTAAAGAGCATTGAGGTCTCAGTCTGATTCTTTCTCGCCTGCATCGCCTTCCTGTGTACGAGCCTCAACCCACCCCAGTGGGAGCAGGCCTCTGGCAGTGGATGGCAGCATGAAGATTCTGCTGAAAGAATCTCTCTCTTCTCTCTCTCTTGGAAATAAATAAACATTTTTTTAAATTAGTTGAGGTCTTGGGGACCAGCAGTTAGCGTAATGGCTATGTCGCTGGACTCCCACGTAGTTGACTGTGGTTCACGTCCTGGACCCGGTGGCTTAAAACTCACGCTGGGTGCATGTGCATGCATGCCCAAGATCCCGAGAGGAGAATGGAGGAGAAGGGATTGTGGTGTGGCCATCCCCCCTGAGGGGTGATTTCTCGCTTTCTGTCTCTCTGTTTCTCTCTGTCTGGTGAGCGCACGTGCCCTATAGAAAAAGAAATTCCAAAAAAAAAAAAAAAAGAAAAGAAAAAATAAAATTAGTTGAGGTCTTTACAAGGTGATTAAATTGTGCAGAGACATCATCCATAATATTAGTGAACCTGTAATTTAGGAATCACTAAGAGACAGCATTATATCTGATACCAAGATTATGAAATATAAAATAAGGAATATCTTGCTTTTTTTTATCCTGTAGTTCTCAGACTTTTGGTCTCCAGATCCCTTTCTACTCTTGATATATATAGGGGATTTAGATGCTGGGGAACTATTATATATGAGGTTTATATCTACCAGTATTTACCATTAAAAAAAAAACTTAAAAACTTTAGTCTTAATTCATTTGAAAATATTAAATCTGTTACATGTTAACATAAAACAGTTTTATGAAAAAAAAGCTATATTTTGTAAAACAGGAACAAAAGGTTTGTGGGAAGATGGCATCATTTTTCATTTTTGCTCTTTTTTGAGAGAATTAGAGTGAAAAGACAAATATGTCATTGTATTATACAAATATTTTGATATCACAGACGAACTGAAATGGTCTGAGCAAACTGTAGCGTTTGTGGGCCATAGTATTGTAACTATTTCTCTAATCTGAAGCCTGATATTAATGGAAGAAAAGTCAATTCAAAGAAACCTTAATTTTCATTTAGAAACAACTCAAAATCCCACACATGCATACACAAGTCATTGGAACGAACATTCCCAACTTCAGCTCTTTAACTAGAAGCCAAAGATCACCAGGTGCTCATGGAAAAATTCAAAACATTATTATAATTTCTGAAACTAGGGACAAGATATAATTTTAGTCTATGAAAGCTACAAACCCTACTAATTAAACACACACACACGTTTTTCTTCTTTCCAGTCCCATCATTTGTTTACCCCTGCTTGTGCTTAGTTGGCCATCATCACAAAGTTGGCACCACTTTGGTATAGAACAGAGTATGGCAGGGTGAAGTAACAGCCCACACAATCAAACTAGTATGTGTTAGCCAATTCTAGAACAGTGTCCTCTGCTTCTCATTATGTGAAAGCTCTGATACATTTTTGCAAATCAGGGAGAATTTAACACAATAATAACATTAACAACACTTACATCTTGCTTCAAATTTTATAAGCTGCCTGCACACACATATCTCATATGATCCTTTTAAAGCCTCCAAAGAGGGACAGTATAAAATATTAACCCTATTTTAGAGTGGAGGACTTCCAGAGTTGGATATAGGTCTTGCCCGAGGTACCAAGGCAAGTATGTAGCAGAGAGGGATTAGGGTTCAGGCCCTTTGGCTCCTAGTACAGGATTCCCCTAGCAGTCCTCCTTCCTTTGATTGCAGGGCAGGATTGAGGAGGGGTCAGTAGGGATGGAGAGAGAGGCCACAGAGAATGCCACAACTGAGCCTGCATGCCTTCTGCCCACACCAGCCATTTTGTCCAACACCAAAGAGGCCAGGGAGTGGCACAGGCCTGCACCGCTCTAATGATTTTCCCATCAGTTCACACATAACAGGACTTTATGAAGCAACTGTCTCATATTTGTCAGCTGAGCCAGTATACGTGGGCAGTTCATTCACAGGCTGTTCCCTCTGCTCCAAGGGAAAAATGAAAACCCTGCAGTTAAAAAAAAAGAAAGAAAAAAAAGAATCTGATGAAAAAATGAAAGCACTCCAGAAATGAAATCTATGTGGGGCTGTAACTAGATTTGGTGTGCACTTGGTAGAATATATACTTTGTAATGTTTCCTATCAATTAGACAGCGATATAAAAATCACAACACATAACTTAATGCAATATCACCTCCTAATAATATTGAGACAAAGACTTCAGCCTTTATTAAAACATTAAATAATTTCAGAATTTTATTTTTAACTAAATTCTTAGGTGATTTAAATTCCATGGTAGTATGAGAGAGAGTAGACAGAGTAAAAGGCAATAAAACAGTGAGAAGAAAATAATTTTTGTTGCCATGTGCAAAAGATTCATTGGTATCTCTTTCTTGACACTCATATGCATGTATTTCAATGTTAGAAATCATTTCATTGCTAGGAAATTTTCTCTACTAAGATATTAATACAAATAGCACTAGTCATTCAAAGATGGTAAACAGGCATTATTCATTTGGGGAAGTGGGTGTTATAACCAGCAAAAAATTGTAGTACAAAAACCTCCAATATAACACAGAACCAATGATTTTCTTGCTACATAATGTAAGTAAGTTGTTGCTTATTGTGTGCTCTCTTTCTTTTTTCTCTTTTTGAAATGTTTCAAAAAATGAGTATGACTGCATGCGCTTTTTTTCCTTTAAGGTAGATGAAGAAATTGGAGGCAAACAAAATCAGTATAAATTAGAAAACATGCTAAGTTCATTTTTTTTTTGGTAAAGTCTGCAGGATGTTGCTGGTTATGTGTTGCACAAATTGTTGGTGTCCCTTTTTTCTCAGTTTTGGTGAGTAATGTTCTCTTTGCAGGTGATGTAGCTAGACATTAACACATTTTTAAGACAGCTGTGCATATGTTGTGTTGATCTACTCACGTGTATATTCCAGAGATGTTCAAAAAGTTTATAGAATATGCATACTATGAAAATCTATGTTAAATTTCAAATTTTTGCACCAAACTCATACATTAATTCCATTGTCTATGAACTTTAAAAAGTCTCATCCTATGCATATACCCACTAATACACATACACATACATATGTATATTTCATCATATTACATGAGGACCCCAACGCATATGTTTTTCCCTCTTCAAATATTTTCTCTAGTGAAAATGAGTATGGATCATGATTTTATAATAGGAAACAAAGCAAATGAAAAACCAGAAAAAGTGAAGTGGTATGCTTTAAGGGTCCAATAAAATAGGTCAGTGGACATTTATGTAGTGGTAAAGTGCTAGAAAGGCCTTTCATTAGTATTTAAAAAATGATAGAGTACAAAGAAGTTTGCAGATTCATTTGATGGTGGTGACCATAGGCACCATAGCAATGGCACTGGCTGAGTTGGAGTTGACTATGTCCTCATACTCCGGGGGTGGGTCTAAATGAGGTTCAGTTTCACTCCTCCGTAGGTTCACCTGGCCAGTAGCTTCCTCATAGGTTGGTGGGGGATCGCAGTTGGACAGGCGAGTGGAGACAGAATCTGAGCGCCCTACAACATATTCCAGAAAGCCAGGAGACAATCCACTGCTATCAAACACTTCATCTGGTGGGGGAGGTGGAGTGATAATATTAAGGTGCTGAGGGAAGGGTATGTGGCCTTCGGTCACTGTCTGTCTACGAGTTTTGTTTCTTAGGAAGCATCTCCAGATTAGGAAAATGACAAGGAGGATAATGAAGAGGCCAAAGATTAATGGGAAGGTAAGGTAAAATTGGAACCAGTCACTTCCTCTGTTACTCTCTCCTTGTTGCGCTTTTGTGTAGGTGCTCCAAAACTCCTTCTGAAAATACAAGACAAAATAATAAAAAATCAGTATGCTAAAAATAGTGGGAAAATCTGACTAACAAGTCACTTGCAATTACATCACAAAGATATAAGCACTATTAACACTTTGGTTTATAACATTTAAAAAATGCTATATAAGGGACAGTCAGTTGGCTTGATGGTTAGGGCACCTGGGTCCCACATGGCCCAACTGCACAGCTTGAGAAATGTTGGGTGTTTGTGCATGTGTGCCCCAAAAATCTTAAGAGTGGAATAGAAGGGAATGCAGCATGGTCATCCTCCTTAGGTGTCCTTTCTCACTCCTCCTACCCCTCGAGTCTCTCTCTCTCCGGTGAGCACATGCACTCTTTAGCAATTTTTTAAAAAAAGTTTCACATCTATTCTTTCTCCCATGCTTACGTCAATTGTCACTGCAATGCTTTGTAAATATGTACCTTTTACAAATTTGGAATCAAGCAGCGCTAAGTGGATTAGAACTGTTAATCATCTACTGTGGAGAACTGTCATCTAGCTGATCCATAATTCATTTTCCTTTATCCATAGGTGAGACTTTATCCTCTCTTCTCAGTCTCTCAGATCACTACCTTCTTTTCCTCCATATGCCAATGAATGCATGTCATTTCAGATAATTATGTAATGTGACGCTTAAATTAACACAAGAAAAATTGACTCTTTTCTATTGTCTGTATTAGTTTGTGATAATCAAGAAATAATGATGTACATGAAAATGAGCTTCTTTTGTACATGCTTGGCTTACATAATTCAATTCCTCTGGTTTCATTAGCATACTGGGAAATAAAAAAATCTATATATACCAATGCTTCTTTTTTCTTTTAGAAATAAATATAATCAGACATCTAATTTGAAGGAATGAAAACAAAACTTGACAAAAATGGAGATTATAAACTAGATTTCTGTTTTACATATTGTAATTCAATGAATCTTCCTCATATTAAATAATATAGGTAATAAATATTATCATCCCAACTCTGCAGATATGGAGACCCAGAGAGGTTACACAAAGTAAACTCAAGGTCATTTAACATGTAAACATTGTAACTGGGATCTTAACCCAAGAGGCCAGGCAACAGAGCAACCCAAACCCAAAAGTCAATCTACCTTGATGTGGATATTTCAAACTAATTTGGTCACATGCCTAAAAAATGTGATTGCTCATCATGTTAAATATGTAGTGAAAATTGAGGTGGCTCATTTTATAGATAAAATATGTTCAATTATAAAAACAATGATCTGAAGTAACAAGTATTTACAGATTGATTTTTTTTTTTAGGAAATAGACATACATTGTTCTTGAGGCTACAGGATCGAGTAAAATTTTTCTTGAAATTGACACTCAAATTATAGTTGTAATTCAGATGAATAAATGCAGTTTATGTCTCTATAAGCCATTCATGTAGTTTTTTATGTTACTGAAAGCAGCCAAAAGATACTGAGAAAAAGCAACTGCTCTCAGGACTTGGTCAAACAGTGCTTATAGGGAATGAAAATGAGCAGTTGGCTATTATGTTCACTGTGGTTCACACTTTGACAGTCCCAGTCACACACATCTGTAATTATTAGATCATATTTTCACAGCAATCTGGAGCACAATGTAAAACACCTAGTTAATGAAGAACAGTCATTAAAGGAAATCCATTGTTTTAAATCAGGCTAAAATTAGATAATAAACACAGTTTGAAGCTGCAAGAGAGGTCAGACTTCCCTTTCAGAGGGAGGAGCCCTAAGAGGTAGATATCCCATCTCATTAGGTCACTTTTAGAACAATACTCAGTAGGTGTGATAGTCTATCAAATAATATTTATTTTCCTTTTATAAAATGTGTGCTTTCTTGTTTTGAATTTTCTCACTGCCATTCATAAATAAATTTGAATGACTTAAAGCCTGAATGCCTCTATTCATAATTAGGAAGAAAAGAGCGGAGCATGTTTTATAGTCATTGATTAACCAGTCCAAAACCTACCTAGGAAAGCTAGAAGTGGGTGATTTTCTCAGTGAGTTTGAGCTGAAGAAGGTCTATACAGCACTCATATGGCTTCTCCCTGTCCTTGAACAAGAATTACAGGAAAGGGATAAGGGATTAAAAATCAGGCCTGACTCCAAAAGCCGTCTTATTCAGAGCAGAAAGTAAAGAGATCTGCAAGGTAGGAGATTCAAGAAAGAGAACATGCAGAATTTTTAATTTCTTACCAAGTGGGATGCTCTAGGGAAAATGGCTATACTTACACATGAGTTACTTAACATCTTTGTGTTCATTTATCTGGAAGGTTGTTATAGGTATATGTACCTTCCGAGAAAATGAAAAAAGAACATTTGTAAATTGACACAAAAAGTATATTATTTTGAAAACTGCCATTAGGGGCTGGACAAGTTGCTGGAAGGAAAAAAAACAAAGACATGTTTATGCTGGGCATGAAAAGGGGCAATCCAATTTCTTTTACTCCAGTTGAAGATGATGTAGGGGGAGGATGAAGAAGAGGGAGGTGGTTGGTTGTGGCTTATTTCAATTAATCGTGGAACTATTTTGTCCAAGGTGGCAAGCAGCTTACAGAAGACAATCCTATTTAATTTAAATGAAATTATGTGGAATCTGCTGAGGTTTGAATTGAGAGCACCTGGATGGAACTAATCAAGGGAGTCGGGAGGCTTGAGAGCTATTGTAGTGTAAGAAAAAGGAGGAATTCCAAGTCCCAAAATGTTGCTATTGCCAGTATGTAACACAGAAAGCTAAAAATTTATTCTTTCCTATTATTAAGGAGGAAAAAAAGCCAAGTGAAGATCCTGTGAATTACACTACTATTCTGACGGGGGTGTGTGTGTGTGTGGGGGGGTAGGGCATACATCCATGTATGCCAATATCCACATGAAAGAAATATGTAAGGATACACAGAACACTGCTAAGAAAGGTTGCCTTTTAAAGAGGGAAGGAAGACACTTGAGAGCCTGGGACAGGGACAGGAGGAAGCTTTGCCATAAATCATTTCATATGTTTTATTCCTGAACCTTGTGGATGTATTACTTCTCCCAAAACTAAAGCAAAGAAGTTCGTTTCTTCGGGGAAGTCCACACATACAGGTAACCCTTTTTCAAATCCTGGATATGAATTCCAGGTAGAAATAGAGCCAGGTTCAGATGCAGACTAGGTTTAGAGACCTGTGGGTTTAGTTAATATTGAGGGTGAAGGAGGTTATTAAATTAAGGGCTGGGTGCTACCAGGAAGGGCACACACTGCGGGTCTGCCCACTTGGAAGGGATGTACACACATGGCCACAAGCCTGCTAACTGTTAACAGATTGAATGTAATATAAACAAGATTATGATGATAATAAATAAATAATAAAAACAGTTTATAGCACGGATAAAGAGACCTACTCCGCAGCTCTTTTGCTTAGATAAGTCAGTTATGTAATGTCAACCACACAGCCTCCCCAAAGTGAGAGCACAGAAGAGCAAAAATGAAGCAGACATTACTTCCCTTTGTAACCAGATAGTTATGACTCTGTCACTTACTAACTGTGAGGTTTCAGATAGTGACATTACTCTGAACCCATTTTCTCAGATTAAAATAGGAAGGACCCAAAACTCCCAGTGTGGTTGTGAGGACACAGGCAGTATCAGGAAAACATCTGAAACACCATCATACATTTTAGCCTGCACTTGACAGATACTGGCTATTTAAAAAGGGGAAAAAGAAGCAGCAGATGGTGTAATGGTTATGTCACTGGACTTCCACATGGCCAACTATGGTTCAAGTCCTGGACCGGGAGGCTTGAAACTCACACTTGGCTCTTGTACATGCATGCCCAAAATCCTGAGAGGAGAAGGGATTGCTGCATGGCCATCCCCCCAAGGGGGTGATTTTTTTGCTTTCTGTCTCTTTCTCTCCAGTAAGTACACATGCCCTACAACAAAAACCTCTCTAAAAAAGTAAAAAGGAAAAAGGGAAAAACAAGGATGTAATTTTTTTTCACCTTCATTGGAAGTATAAATGACAAAATTGTATATATTCAAGGTATAGAACATGATGTTTAGATACATGCATGCATTATGAAATTATTACCAACATCAATCTAATTAACACATTTATTACATTATTACATTTTTTGTGATGAGGAAACTAAGATCTAGTCTCTTAGTAACTTTCAAATGTACAGACCTTATTGACTATGGTCACCATTCTCTACATTGGGTCTTTGGAACTTATTCATCTTATAATTGCAAGTTTCACTTTTTGATGAAAAACATGCCTTCTCCTTATAGTTGTTATATCTGATAGATGAGTCATAATTAACAGAGCACCCAAAAAGTAGCTTAAGAAGTAATGATAACTGTGTTTATTTCTCAAGAAGCCTACGGGTGGGATAAGACATGCCATAGTTTATACCTTTGACTCAATTATGACAGAGCTCTACCCTGAGTTCTGCAATTCTCTTGGCCTTATCTTCATGGTTACAAAGTGGCTGCCCCTATGCCTGGAATCATATTCTCATTCAATCAGAATGACAACTGTGGGGAAAAATATTTTTTTTCACAAAGTACTGTCACTTTTATCTGCCAAGCTAAATTTTATCAGAAATTGGGGCTATTTCCTTTTGTTCTAGGTCAGAACTCATTATGTGGACCACACTAGCAGCAGGAGATACTACGAGAACGAAAATCCTGATAGAGGAGGAGATTTTTTCATAATTAATTTTGAATAATTATGATTTACCTCAAAAAACCAGGCACATTGTCACTTCTTAAAATTCACTGTTTCTTAGTGAGGAGGAAACAGTAGAATGCCTATTGTGTCAATAAGCAGAAGTGTCTGACATAATGTCTTTGCTGAGACAATTGATTAAATCATTAGTATCTCAGATTAACTTAATTAGGGCAATTGCATTGTGACAGAGGGTGGCAGTAATGGGGATATGGATGATAAAACTGTAATGAGCATATTGGACACAGACAATTGAAATGTTAGAAAACCTTTGGCAG